ATCCAATACCACCCGTGTCTGCCCCATTCCTGGGGCGAGCATGTCACTAGACATTAGAAAATGTGGTTCTGGCCCCGGCTGCTCAAGTGAATCAGGGTCTTCAGTCAACAGAATGCCCAGGTTCCCTGCATATACTTGAAAGTTTGAGGCACCCTGGTTTAGAATAATGTATAATTGAATGATGAAAATTGAGGACCTCCTAAATAACACAAGCATTTGGGAGCCTGAACCTTATCTTAGAACATGATGTTCAAGACTCTTGATATGCTGAATTTCTTCCCGAGAGAGTAAGCCTTGTTAGGTACACGAGAAAAACAAGATCATGTAACAAGTTAATGACATAATCATAACTCAATTCTTCTAGACTTCTTGCTTCTATTTAGTTAGTTTCATTCGCTTGAGTTTGAATTACATATTCAAATGAAAGCTTTAAAGTCTTCTTGTACAAATGTAAAAAATCAGAGTTTTTCTTAGTTGTAAGAGATGAAAAGTGACATTTATAAGATATTTTTTAAAAGGTATATTTTTTCCCATTTCACTTGGGACTACTCTGTTGTAAACCCTATTTCTAGCAAGTAGGAGAAATAAGTTTAGTTTATTGTCTCTCTTTCTACCGGACTTTTTTTGTCTATCACATTTTTCTGACAGACTCACTGTTGTCAGTTTTCTAAATCTATTGCTAAAATTGAACAAAATTTAGCAGGTAGTAGACAAGTAATTTTTCCCCAGCTCACCCTGAATATGAGATGTACTTTTAAAAGTTATTAGAAAAATGGTGTTAAAAGATCATTGGCTTTTTCCATAGACTTTTTGAAGCCACCTTGTACAACTGTTAATATTATAGCCAGAGTTAGTTCTGCATTTTAAGAATGGGAAAGGGCTGGATTATCTGATTCCAGGCCATTTCAGTTCCATGCAGAAATTTTAGTCCATCTATGGACTGAAAACATATTAAAAACTATGGCTTAGATATTGAGACAAACATTTTTGAGACAAACATTTTTGAGACAAACATCTCAAGCCAAGCGTTTTTGTGCACTGTGCTTCACTGCAGCATGCGCTAGAGTAAATAAACATTGCAGCATTTAAAGACATGTCTGAAGTCTAGGGACCACTATTTGGACAGACCTAGGACTCTAATAGACCTGTTCCTTCTCTCAAAGAAAGGAATCTCTTTGAAGTCTGATTTCTGTTATTCCAAAGCTGGCTGTATGTTTCACCTACCTTTAGATTCTCCTCCTCTAGGCAAAGAATGATTCTGTTTTGACATTTTTAGCTGCCCCGAGCTTGAAAACGACTTCTCGGGTGTGTTGGGGTAGTTCCGTGATCAGTGATATAGCGCAGGGGAGTCTTCTTCCTTTGGTCGACACAGACCAGAAGTACTCTCTCCCTCTACTGGATCAGCCAATAGAAGACTACTCGACTTTGTACTTTCTCAGAAGCCACCAATGTAGTGTGTTTAATATGGTTTCTTATTGTCATTAAATATTTGCCAAGTGACCACGTTGTACCTGGCGCTGCCCAGAACTGTTTGGGGTTTGCAGAGAGAGCGAGAGCATCTGTGTGCCTTGGTTTGTGGAGGAGGGCCCTTGGAGGATTCCTTTTGGTAAATAATTTAGAAAAACCTGCTTTAGTGTCCCCCACACTCCCATTCTCTGCTTTAGTTACTGCTTCTTGGAGTGAGAGAAAAGGGTTTAAGAGGACAATGAAAAATGCCGAATGTGTCTTAATTCTACCAAGTAGTTTGAACTTTACTTAGAAGCATTGATAAGAGGAAATCTATAAACTTTTGTTAGAAGTTGGCAGAACGTGGAAGCAGCTTTTGCTATATGCAGTTGGTGTGCCAGGGTGTGCACATGGTTAAGTGCTTGACTTGTAGGAAGAGGTTGCAAGTTCAAATGCACCCAGAGACTCCTGGCCATCTGCTTCTGAAAGGTTACGCCCTTGAAAACCCTGTGGAACAGTTCTACTCTGACACATCTGGGGTCACCCCGAGTCAGAATCAACTCCCTGAAACAAATCACCTAACAGGTGGTATCTTGCATAACGAGACTTTTTTTTGCGTCTTCGATTGAATCGCTACATTGATGACACCTTCATTTGGGCCTTAGGGCAATTTGATCCAAGTCCCTCTGTATTAGTCTAGGTACTTTGGGGAAACAAATCCACGGTGACTCATGTATAAGAGAGAGTTTTATGTAAAGAAAAGGTGCATCACGAAAACATCCCAACCCAATGCTGCCCAAGCCCACAAGTCCAACATTAACCCATTAACCCAACACCAGTCCACAAAGTCCTCCACCTCACAAAACAGAGGCAATGATGCCGACTGCAGGAGGAAAGCTGAGTCCATGAACGTGTAAGCATCTCAGCACTGGCAAGGGTCTCCACACGGCTGCTCCAGCACCCAGCGCTGCATCGGGATAGGTCCATGTGGCTTCTCCTTGGGGATGTCTTGTAGGATGTCAATCTTGCAAGCTGAAGCAGGGAGCTGCTAAGGCAGCTGCATCCTGGTGCGACCATCACAAAGCAAGAGACCCGAGAACTAGAAAGGCCAAGGCTCACCACCCATTTATCCCTCCGCCTTTCAACCAGCACCACATGTGATTATTGGCCAGGCTGGCACAATTAACTAACTCACCCTCTAACATCATTTGGCATCCCTTTTTAGGGCATTAATGATGCCATTTGGTGTCTTTTGCAGGGACATCTCACTTTACATCTTATTAGGTTTAGCCTGTCCCGGTTCTGGGGAGCAGACTGACCTTGGGTGTATAGATCTGGACTTTTTTCACCGGTGGGAAATTTGGGATGGAAAATCTATATTGTGAAAAAGAATTTAGAACTGCCTGAAAAATGTTCAACTGGAAAATGCTGTGAGATATATCCAATAATTAAACATAATTCAAAAGTACATTTTACTTTAAATAACATTGGCTGTGTTTCTGACCAAATATTTATCTTAGGTTAATGTTTCTTTACTTCTTTGTATATACAAACATATCACTTTCTCAACTCCATAGATAATGGAAAGTAGTTTTAAGGAGTGATCTTTAGGTTTGAAAAAAATTTAAGTGATTCTTCATTTCCATATTCCATACTTTTGTTTGCATCATGTAATTGATATTGAACTCCTGCCATTGTTAAGGGCTCTAATCTCGGAGTTCTTGAAAATGTAGAGCTGACGAAATTGTGAGGACTACGTTAGGGGGAGCACACAGGAAACATTCCCCTTGAGCCCTCTTCTCCCTAAAAATCTGGACTAGATTCCTCTGCTGAGCCTGGTCAGTATTGAGGGCCTGCTATGCACACTGAGCATTGTGTTGAAACAGGACCAGGCTCCACCCTCAAGGAGAAATACTGTCCCTGGGGCCATCCTGAGCTGTCACGTAGCCTGCCTGTTCACCCCTCCTCCTTCTGCGTAGACCTCAGTTGCTGGGGATGGGAGATTGTCTGCCTTATAGGGAGAGAGAGGACATGAAAATTCAACTGCAATGAGGAAAAACAGGAGCAAGTGAAAAATAACTGAAATTGCCTGTTTTGAAAGAAGTCTATTCACAAAGAAACAAAAACGAGTGAACAGCACAATAGCCCAAACCAGAAGAAATTCATTAGAAGTTTCTTGTGAGAGCTATTTGGGGTTTATAGAGTTAGCTTCAGTGAGTTGCAAGAGACAACAAAATTAGTGCTCTTTGAGCGTGGTTTCCCTTTTCTTCGGATCTGAAGTTAGGCACCTGAAGCTCACAAGCTCTTCCCTGGTAGGGCAGGTGCTCCGTTCGTTGTTTGATCCGTTTTCTCCTCTCTCAGGGTAATTGCTAACAAATTAAAGTGACAGAAAGGAATCCTTTGTTGCATCATAACAAGGGCATTGTCAGAAGGCATTAAACTGTGAATGAGATGAATAGCAACACTTTGCCTTTTATGTTTCTGGGCCTGATTTTTATGGTAGACTGAATTTCCTAACAAAGTTAGTGTTTCTGACCTTGACAAAACCTTGTTTAATTCTGGCCTCTCTGCCTGCTGGATAAGTACTCTCTTCCCCTATTTCCCCCATGAACCTATAAACTGATATTCTTCCACTAGAGATATACCACATATGCTCGAGCATAAGCCGACCTGAATATCAGCCGAGACACCGAATTTTACCACAAAAACTGCATTAAAAGTGTGCTGAAAAACTCGGCTTATATGGTATATGCCTTTGGGCTAAGTCGGTATCCAGAAAGTCTCCATTGACACGCCCTCGTGAAACACAGGGAGGGCTGGGGTAAAATCCGTGTAAGACAGAGGGCCTAAGGAAAAAACCCGAGAAAGCACCTTGGCCTTGGACAAGCTTCAGTTACAGCATCGCTGTGGATGGTGATTTCCTTCTCTGCATTGTGCTTTACTCCCCCACTTGCCCAGACTTAGAAGGCGATTTGGAGGCGTGTATCTATAATAATGCATCCATGCAGATCCTCTCTAACTCCTGTCACCTACTCTTCATTAGTGGTGGGTTTGTCATCGCTAATTATTTTGCGTTCAGAGACCGAATTCTGTTGTACTCGAACTTTGTATTTTTTTCTTTCAGATACCTGCGCTTCCCTTCTTTATTTCCAATCTCATCGTTTCATGCTTTGCCCCGTGGACAGCTTCCAATAAAAATCCCATTGCTGTCAGGGTCATGCCGATCCTGGCAACCCTGTACGCGCCAGAGAAGAGCTGCGTTCACAGGCTGGCCAGGGGTTGAAGTTTTCAAAGGTTTTTCTTCCGAGGCACCTCTGTCTGGATACACTCCAGCTGACAACTTTTCTGTGAGCAGCTGAGCTCTGTTTAACTGTTTGCAGCCCCCGCCCACCCAGGCACATATCTGCCCATCAGCACCCCCTAAATAAACTTCTACATTTGTTTATTCCTTTCATGCTGAGCCTCTCCGTCGCTGAAAGCTACATCTCACGGCACATGACAGTGACGTTATCCCCTTCGTGTGGGGTGTTAGTTCAACGGGTATGAACATTGAATTGCACCCGTATTACTTGCAATGGCTTTCTTACAACCAGTTGGGGAAATGATTCCCAAATTCATATTTCTACTGAGAAAAGTACATCGAGGTGAGTCTCCTTTCTGCCTTTTGAAAAATCATAAGTCTGTTTCTTCTTGGACGTGTCATGGGAACAATCACATTTTTTACCTGAACAAAGTAAGTTTTTGCAACCCTTATTTCTGCAGGGCCCTCTGTCTCCCAAAGAATTGCCTTCTGTGCATTTTATCCTGCTCCTTGCTGCTTTCCACCCACAGAATCCTTGCTGCGGGGGAGGTGTGAGGTAGGGAATTTATGATGCATTTCAAACCGGGTTTGAATTGATGACCCAGATGGTGAGGAAGACCCTTGGGGGGAACTAACACTGAATGGGTGAAGCACTTGTTGTTTAGTCCATCATTGGAGCCCAGACTCTTTGAGTCCCCAGTCCTTCACATGTGCCCCTGAGTTCCCTTTTCTGGTTGGAGTGAGCTTCTTGCAGAGAGTGCACCCTTGGGTTTATTCACTGTCGAAATCTTGGCACCCAGAAAGTGGTTCTTTAATACGACGATAACGAATAACTGATCAATTGTCTTCTGTGTGCCAGACACGATACTAAGCACCTTACATGTGAGAGAAGTGCTATCAATACCCCCACTTTAGGGATGAATACGCCGAGGCACAGGAGATAGATAAGGTGCAAGTCCAAATGCCTGGTAAGCAGTACAGACAGACTGCCGTGATCCAAACTCGGGCGATATGGAGGATGCGCTCTTAACCACTGAGATGTTACTGTGTTCAATGTAACTGCACCGTTTCCTTCTTAAATACTTAAATAACAGGTGTTTTATGTTTCTTAGACTACACCGTGGTTGATGTGAGTTGGTCAGCCAGGCATGCACAGTACTGCACTTGGTGCTGCTCATAATTCAAGAACAGCCAACCTTAAGATAACACGGTAAACACTGTAAAGATCGCTTCTTTCTCCCTTGCTTTTGTCAAACAAGAACAACCAAGAGCCATTTAATGATGAGTTACAAACTCTACACAGAGCTTAATATTAATGTGAAACTGTCATCCTATTACCATTTATCAAATCACAGTATCATTTAAGTGAAAATATATATGTAGATTTTCATTCCAGTTCTGGAGCAACTACCGTTTTCCAATACTTGGTAAATACCAGGTATTTTCAAGGAAGAGAACCATTTCATTAAACATAATGAGAGCCTTCTGGAGCGCCGTTATCATCCCAATTTTAGTATATGTGCTGCCAAAGATACACCTTTCTGGAGCTCTGATGGTGTTGAAGGTTACAAGTTGGGCTGCTCACCACCAGGTCAGAAGTTTGAAACCACCAACTGCTTCTCTGGAGAAAGATGAGGCTTTCTACTGTAAAGGTTTACAGTTTTGGAAGCCCATAGGGGCAGTTCTACTCTGTCCTCTAAGCTTGTATGAGACACGAGGCCATGAGTGTTTGTTTATTTTTTATCTTGAAAGCCTTCCATTTGCTGAAGATTATCCCCCTCCACTGCCCCCCCCCCAAAAAAAACACCCCAACAAAATCCCAAACTCACTGCTAAGGAGTCAACGAGTGCAGTGACACGCTCGATGGGTTAGACCTGTCTCTGTGAGCTTCCATGAGGCTGTAACTCTTTGTGGGAGTAGAAAGCCCCCAGCTTTCTCCTGGGTTGCTGCTGGTGATTTTGAACTGCTGATCTTGTGTATCTCAGGTTAACATGTAACCACTGTGCCATCATGGCTCCTCTGTGGAAGATAAGGCCAAATATGTATTCCAATATTGGTAACAACGGATCAACTTTGGTAGGGAAAGTACTTTCTAATGGTAAAGACATTGGGCTGTGAGTCAGAAAATCTGGATTTTAATCCCGTCTCCATGGAAAATTCTGGTTGTGAGTTTAACGGAGTCAATCCTGTTAACTATACTGCTCTGATGTCATTGTCAGAAAGTGCCCTAAGCTACACAAGAAAACACAGTAACCTTCATTGTGCCTTTATAATGATACAGTGTTCTTGATAGAATTTTTCATCCACCACAAAAATGTCTTTTATCTTCCAAAAAAACAAATCTGATCACATTACCCTTTATTCTTTTTTCTCGCTCTAATTTTCAAGTGTTTGGTATGTGCCAGGAATTGTGAAAAGTCCTTTATAAACAACAACTCATTTAATTATCTCTATTACTTTATGAGCTAAGCATTAATACCCACATTTCAAAATGAAAACAAAACCAGGTACAATGGTACCCAAAGTGGCAAAGTTAAGTGTTGGAACTGGTACCAAACCCAGACAGCCCAATCCTACCTAACTCAATAAATATTTCTTCCTTGAAATTTATTCAGCAAAATATTATGAGTCCCTAAATATGCCAACCACTGGACTCATTGCTGAGGTTTAAGAGATAAACAAGACCCAGGCCTTTATCTCAAATAGTTTATACTCCAAAGATAACATTTGCTCTGTGTGTCCTTGTAGTTGTTAAGTCCCATTGAGTCAATTCCAACTCAGAGAACCTATGTGCAACAGAATGGGACACGGATGGTCCTGTGCCATCCTCAAAATCAGTTCTATGTTTGAGCCATTGTTGAGGCCACTGTGTCATTCTCTCTCTGGAGGGCCTTTTCCCTTTCCACTGGCCCGCTGTCAAGACCTAGCTCCTCCTGATATCATTTACAAAGGCTGTGAAACAAAGTCTCCCCATTCTCACTGCTAAGTAGCCTTCTGATAGTACTTATTCCCAGACGGGCTTCTCACTGCTAAGTAACCTTCTGATAGTACTTTTTCCCAGACGGGCTTCTATCAGTCCATGGTATAGTCAATTTCTTCACCAATGCTATAATTCAAACGCATTTTCTTTATTCATCCTACAGCTTTCACGGGCATTTGAGGCAATTGAAAGTACCATGGCTTGAGTCTGGTGCCACTTAGAATGTGTTCCCAAAGAACAGTCTAAACTCCTTCACTTGGCATCCCAGCTTAACTTACCTCTATCTTTAAATTATTTATTTGTGTCCCTTGTCATCTCCTCTGTGTACTGTGCGTGCTGTTTACCTGGACTGTGTACCTCGGTACAGAAAACACTTTCATCTCCTTTTGACTCAAAGGAGAAGGTGCAGTAACATTTTCTCCAAACACCAACATCCTAAGAAAACCTGGCCAGTCAGTTCTGTGACAACTGCATGTAAGCACGAAACTGTAGTCTGGAAGCCATGTGGTGCTGAGGAACATTTCCTCCCCCACCACCCGGTGAACTTGTATCATTTGTAGTAGAGTTGGGGCCATTTGTCATACTCTGCATTCGACCCTGGCTCCCAAGACATTCTGGTTGATTTTTAAGAAATTTTATAAAGTTCACTCCTTGTGGTTATAAAAAGGAATCGCCCGGGTGCCACACTTGACCTCCTCCAGCTACACAAGGGGAAAGAAAATCACCGCCAACAACACCAGCTGGTACCGCAGATGGAGGGGGAGGCCAGACCTTTCTGCACCCTCCAACTCACAGGCGCTCTCTGCTTCTCAGCTGGGTGAGTAATTCATTGCAGTAGCCACACAGGACTCACAAACAATACAGTTATGGGGTTTATTAAGAAAGTTAGCAGGTGACAAATGCTCTGGCTATAATTACTCAGGACAATTTCTTCTTAGCCATGCCAGAGGTAGGCCATTTTCTGCTCCCGTAAAGATTTACGGAAACCCACAAGGGTAGCTCTCTAGGGTCCCTATCAGGAAAATCCACTTGATGGCAGTGGAGGTTTTTGGTTTCTTGTTTTAGTTTTATCTTGTTAGGAAAGAAGGAAGGTATATGGAAGCAATTAGTCTTCTGGATTAACGGACCATACAAACATCAAGTAGCCTCCAAAACCCTGAGGCCAGAAGAACTAGTTGGTGCCCGGCTACCACTACCAGCTGCTGTGATGAGGATCGCCTCAGAAGGTCCAAGATGAAGTGGGAGGAAAATGTACAACCAGGCTTACTGGTTGGATAGGGACTGGTGAGACCCTAAAGACCGTGGCCCTCACCCTTCAGGTCTGGGACTTAACTCATCTCTGTATTAGAATAAGCAACCGTTTAAGACCCACAGGGCATGTTGTATTAGTCAGAGATTTGTGATCGAGAACTCTTGAAAGGGTTTGGTTCGGAGACAGTAGAATCAAGTGAATAGCATTTCACCAGGTTGCCTGCTAGCACCATGAAGGCTAGCCAGGTCTTACTCTGAATGCCCACGCAAGGCGGCCCTTGAAGAGCTCTCCATGGGGCATATGTGCTGTGGATTTATATAGATGGTCCTCTAAGCCTAAAACTCAAAATAATCTGCTCCATGGCTAGATTATTTGAAGTTTCATGATATTTGGTTGGGTCTTTTGTGTACTAAGGGTCCTGATCAATCATATAACCATTTAGTTTAGTGGAGCTTTGACAGTGCCAAGTGTAACCAACGTTTCAGTTGGTTATGTTTGTATCAGAATCCGTATTTGATTGAGTCACTCGATATCCTGTGTTGTCTATTTGAGTAAGTGGTTCTGGAAAACATCATGGGTGTGTGTTCCCCTCCCCCAACTCTTTCTCTCACAGCTCGTTACAGAACTGATCAAAGAATAAGCATTCAGAGAGTCTTCATCATCGGAAAACCCGCACGCCATTTTGCATTTAGGCTTGAGCCCCAGTAGGCCAGAGAAGGCCCACATGCGGACACCCCCCACTCTGTTAGACGCGTGGTCAGGGACACTGTCTGGCGAGCAGGAGACAAACTGGACAGAATGCTCGAAGGCTAAAAATAACGCTCAGGCCAGTCACAGAAACGCGTTCTGAGCAAGCAGTGCTTTTTGACACGAAGTAAAAACATTTCTTAAACGAACTTTGTTTCCTGCTTGGTTTATAGTAATGAGAAAATTCCAAAGTCAATTTAATTTTTTTATGGAGAGTTAAGGCAGCCATTGCCTTTTCCTTTCCAGCCGAATCTGCAGTTAAAGACTACTGTGCTTGTTGTGTGCTGTGGGACGACTCCCACGCCAGACCCTGCAGGGCAGAAGAGAAGTGCCCCAGAGCTTCTCAGGCCGGGATTGTTAGGAG